CTAACTTCCAATGTGCAGGAGGTACTGGAGACAGAGACACATATTAAACAACACCAGAAGGACAATCAGCAAAATCCATACCATGGGAAACAAACAAACTGTTCTTCAACAAAGGGTTGCAAGCTAAAAGCAAAAGACAGAGAAAAGAGACAGATGTGGGAAGGGAACCTAAAGGTTAAAAAAGGCTAAGCAAAAACTGGAGAAATGCAAAACTTACTGGATATTTGGTGATAATAAGTAATTATTAAAGTTGTGGTGAAATAATAATACTGTGATAATGTTTTTTAAGAGAAACCTCTTCCTGTTAGAGATAGATAATAAAACACACTCAGTCTTCATTATTTGCAGATTCTACATTTGCGATTTTGCCTTCTCACTGAGATTATTAGTAGCCCGAAAACCAACACTCACAATGCTTCTGCAGTCATTCATGCACAAGCACAGTGGCAACATGCTGGAGTCACCTGATGTACAAGTTCCCAACTTAAGATGAAGAAGGCAGTGGTCTGCTTTCTTACTTCAGCTTTCATAACTGCATACAAACATCCTTTCCCTGTTCTATTTAGTGCTACATTTCTCACATTTTTGTACTTTCTGTGGGTGATTTTGCTGTTTAAAATGGCCCCAAATGTGATGCTGAAGTCCTGTCTAGTGTTCCTAAGTACAAGAACGCTGTGATGTGCCTTATGGAGAAAATAGGTATCAGAAAATCTTCACCCAGGCATGAGTTATAGTGCTGTGGGTCATGAGTTCAATGCTAATGAATAAAAAACATATATTAAATAAGATATCTTGAACAGAAAGACTCATAAACAAGATTATATATTGGTTGCTTGACAAAAATGTTGTGACCTGAGTCTCATGGAATCTTAACCCTGCATTTCCCTTAGGAGTTAATGGTTCAGTATTTTCTAATCAGCATTTATAGCAACTTTATGGAACATTAACCACCACAAATGAGAATTAACTATATAACAAATGTAATTCATTGATTCTTGATTTCCACACTTTCATCTTGTAGAAAGTAATTCTTTAGTAAGCACTTAATGTTGTCCTTAAACAGCTACCTAATCCATGTAAATAAAATATATTCATATGTGCACTTATAAATGTATATATAATGCTTAAAGATAAAATCATCCTGATAATTTTAAAAAATGACAATTGAATGTACAAAAATGAAATTATGTAATGTTGGATTTGTTCCACAATAATCTGGAGTGAGGAGCAGCAAGTAAGGGTAGATGAAAGATTGGCCATAGTTGATAACTGTTGAAATTGGGTGGTGATATTTGGGGTTTCATTATACTCTACTCTTAGATATGTTTGAAATTTTCTATAATAAAAGTTGTAAAAATAGAGCTAGTGTAGAATAAGGATTTGAAGAGATACCTATCAGAAGTTTACAATTTTGGTTAAGATGGTCAAGGGCAGGTCTTGCTGAAAAGATGACATTTCAGAAAGAGATGAGAAACATTTAATTAAATACGAATAACCATCTCACATCACATAAGAGGACTCAATAATATTAGTTAAAAGTTAGCTTATCTAAAAGAGTTAACCACTGAAATACCACAGAGCCACAATGAATGTTGGTTTTGGACCTTAAATGGCCTGCTTCTAAAAGCTGGACTTGTTTTGCTAGACTAAGTAAGACTCCCTCATTTGTGCCCCCTCAGGCTTTCTTGTCTTTCTCATCGAAGAACAGCCTATACTCTCCTTTCTGGACCTTGTCATTCTGCAGCTAAAGACAACATCTCAGCCCAAGCCCTCTGAGCTGTAGAAGCCCCCGACACAACACCAGGGGCTCATTCACTTCTGCCCATGCAGAAATGCATCTGATGGGTGGCTTTGGATGACATTCACAATAGGCACCATTTTTCAGAAGAAGGTTTCTAAAGGAGCCTCTTGGATACACAGACAAGAATGAGTCAGAAAGTCAGAGGGAGGAATGATACTAACAAAGTATTTTTAAAATACAGACTTACCAAGAATGTTTACTATTTTAAATTAATTAAAGTACTGATGCCAAACAATGATCTTTGATGCATGAATATCCTTCCATTCTACAGAAAGAAGTCTGCAGAATAATCACAGAAAGACAGTGTACCAGCTTCCTTAAAGAATAGTAGAAGCTAAAGTAAGACCAGGATCCAGGTTATTCCCCTCCCCAAATCTGTAACCTCACATTGTTACATTAGCATTATGGTAAATTTTAGCTCCATCTCTTCCCACAAACCAGGCAGCTAATGGTTCTAAGCATGGATTTCAGAATGGAAGGGACTAAAACAGCTTTCCTTTATACTTTATGAACTACGGCTTGAAAGATTTCAGTTTAGGTTTCAAACTTCCTCCTCATTACTTTCTAAAAAATGTTCCAACAGTCATTATAGTACATTGTCAATGGGGACAAAAATAAGACTCATGAATAATAAATTTATAACTTGTCCATGATATAAAACATTAGTTTAACAATCATTTGCTGAATAAGTCCCATATTCCAGGCATATCCTGAAAACCTAGTAAACAAACATGAATAAGACACAGTCCCTGCCCTCAAGAAGCTTCCAAAGTAGTGGTAGAAACAGAAAAAATATATAATTTAATATGAAAAAACTATAATGGATTTATGCATAGTAGTTTAAGGGAGCTGCACATAAAATGTGAGTTGAGGGTAATGTCAGGAAAGAACTCAGAGATGTCAGGAATGCTCAATATTAGATAAAAATTCTTCTACTAAGTAGATCACCCACACCATGACTTCCACCAATGAAACCCAAGATATTCACTTTGAAGAGGACTATGCAATATGAAATATCTACATTTGCTGACAACACTGATATTTAGTAGGAACTCAAGTATGTGCCAATACACATATGTTTATGGACCGAATGGCTACAAATTAGCAATAAAATCTCCCCACCAAGTAATCGGAGTACAAGCATCTGTTGATGAGTGAAAGTTAGCATGTTTGGCCACTGACAAACCATTGACATTAACTTTTTTGTATTAATTTTCCCTTCCCCCCAACTGCTCCCCTTCCCCCATTCCTCATCTCAATGAATGACACCACCACCACCCAACACGGGAACCAAGAAATAATCATGACACTCTGTCACTCTCATTCTTTGTAATCCTGCACCAAATTGGCTCCCCAACTTTATTCCCTGCCATATTTCTAGCCACCAGCACCTCTACTATTGGCCCCCTCCATCAGTCTGTTTTACTCTAAAACATCAGTAAGACTGATGTTTTGAAAATTCAAATCTGATCTTGTCATTCCCTCCTTAAAACTATTACTAACTCCCCACTGATTTCAGAATGCTGTCCAAGATCCTCATCAGGGCCCCACAATCCCATGGCAGCTTCAAGTTGTGCCACTGTCCTTCATTTGAGCACTAACCCACTGGTATTCTCCAACTTCTCCCAATATGCTGAACTTCCTCCTGACTCAGGGCCTTTGCATATCCTTTTTCTTCTGCCTAGAACTCTCCTACCCAATCCCCAGCCCCACTTTAGACCTCAAGTCAAATTTTACTTCCTGAGGAAACCTTTTTCTGGTCCTCCATAGTACACCTGCCCTTCCTCCCCATTAATCCCAACCCCCTCCATTGTGCCCTTTCACACCTCTCAGAGCTCTACCCTCACCAGAATGTCAACTCCTAAGGGCAGAGACTGTCCAGTAATTATATGTTCTAGTTATATACTTTGTGGCTATTTGAGTAATGTCTGTTCCCCCTCCTCATCAGATTGTAAGCATGAAGTCATGGGCCGTATCTAGCCTGTGGTACTCCTACAGTAAATATTTACTTAACCACTCTCTCTCAACATGTAGAAAGTAATGAAAGTCAAGATCACATATTGTTTACAAAAATACACAATTTCCTGTGATCAGTTGATATGTAGTTAGGAAAAGGTCATAAGATGAACAGTGTGTGTGCGAGGGGGGCTTCTAGATTGAAGAAATGTCATTAGATAACAGAAAAAGTGTGTGTTTGTGTGAATGTTGGAGGAAGGGGGTGTGAAAGTAGAGGATTCAGAAAAATTGACAGTCAAACCCACTTCTGTAAGCCAATGGATTATGTGACATTAGACTTTGTCACTTAACCTCGCAATAAGCTTCCTCATCTATAAAACTAGATACAGAAACACTTTCCTGCCCACCTAACATGATATGTTGAAGGGAAGACTTCTACATCAAAGGAAAAGAGCTCTACAACAGTAACAGGCCATTATCATATAGTCATGGAAATAAAATCTTATTTCCACTGTTGAAGTGTTTCAAAGAATTTGCCTCTGAGGACAACCCCAGATATTTTTTTTCTTACAGAGCTAAATGAATTATCTAGTCAGACAGTCTGGGTCTGACCAAATTTTCTGGTGAATTACCAAGGCTGTTCTCTCTAGGGCAGATGCCACTTCACAGGGCACTACCCGCTCCTTGCATTCAAGAATGATTGGTGAATATAGCTTCTAAAGGTGGAGTAGCTAAATCTTTCTGACCTCCAAATTGGTGTATCCTTTGTTAAGCAGTGAGCTATTGAAACAAAGTCAAGAGGAAGAAAATGCTCTGAAAAAGAGGTTACAAATTCAAACGCTTTCTAGGGCAGGCAGATAACATAAAGTTGAGAGCAGCCAGGTAACAGGACAAAGATACGACAGCACCATAGAGATGAAAAGAATGCATATTGTCCAAACCAAAGAAAAGGGGGCTGCAAACATTAATTATGCTAAGGAAATAGGCATAAATCAGGCTTTCCCAGGCAAATTAAGACATATGGTCACCCTAGTGAGTCAACATGACTGCTTGGCTCCAGTTAATGCGGGAACACCCATCTGCTATTAACAGGTCTTCAAGAGAATCCAGAAATTTGGGGTTTTACACAAAATTTTCTGATTTTTAAATGTTGGCAACTGACTCTTCTAAACACTGAGTATACCATACAAAACACATATTCAGGCAGCCAGATTGTGACCTCTTTCTTTATTTTCTTCATCAGTATTCACCATTAGCAGGACTACAGTTCCCCAGAAAGATACCTGCCTGTATCACCTTCAACTGAACAGAGTGAATCTTTGGAGAACACATTAATGAACACACATATGCTGAGCGCCTGCCATGTGCTAAGAGATGCTCTCAGATGTATTACCTAATTTAAATTACCCAACATCAAGAGGTAAGGATTCTTACTATTCTCTCCTTTCCAGGAGAAAAATCACAGGCTGAATGTAACAAAATGACTTAAGTTCCTGAATAACAGACCTGGCATACATAGTCATCAATTCTTCACAAATAACAAGTTTAGAGAAACCTAGAAAGGTAAGAAGTGAAAGGCAAGGAGAGAGAGTAGCATTAAAGCCAAAAGAAAGGAGTGAGAGAAACAATTTTGACTGTCTGGCGCAAAATAGGGTCTCTGTATTTATTTGTTGAATGAACAAACATGTTTGTGAACCTGTGGTTGCAGTGTCAGTATTTACTGTATGAAAGAGGATGTATTTGAAGTTAGACACACTTGTATATGAACGTCTTCACTGTATACTGGAATGTGAATTTTGGTAGATCTTTAACCTTTCTAACCTCAGCCCCTCAACTATCAGATGGACATAACATCTCCATAGAGGACTATTTTGAGAAATAATTGGAACTACAGGTGGGAAACAAATAGCACAGTGTGTGGCCCACAGTACAAATTCAGTGGATGTTCACTTCCTCCTGGCACTCTTGGGAAGAAGAGGAGACGTTTCTTGTTTCCTCTCCTATAGGCCCTTAGTTTTCTACAAGGGTCTGTTACCTCTATCAAATTGATCCCTACCCCATTCTCCCTTCTTCACTTTCATCCCCTTTCCTGGCTCTGGTTTGTCCCCATCAACGGGGCATTCCCCTCTGCTGCTCAAATGGCTTTTCTGCCTACAATCCCTTGCCTCTGGGCTAGGAGTGAAAGGGGATGGTGTCAGTATTCTCTGGGCTTCCTGATACTGACATAAGATGAAGGGTTCACAGCCTTCATCCAACCATGAGACCGTCAGCCCTTCAAGAGCTTGCCTGTATCCTCCTCCTGGTGGGTGGCCCTGCAGCCTGGTGTGGGACCTGGCTGACAGCAAACCTTCAGTATACACCCACTGAGAGAATGAACTTGCCTTACAATTTAAATCTCTTCTTGCAAATCCCAACTCTGCATCTAACCGAGGCTCCTACGCTAGATTTAAAGTTGTCCAGTAATTGTAGAGAAGTTCATCATTACTAGGTAATTAATAAGCACCTGCCCAGGACTTAAGATTATTGTAAGGAAGAATAATGTTAAGTTTTAAAAACCCATCTTTCTTAATTATTGTAGATGCACTGATTTATGGATATGATGGGCAGGTAAAAAGAGTCTAACCAACTGTTCATATCCATCGTAAAAATACATTTGACTAAGGAATCACAGCGCTGAAAATCATAGACCACCTCAGAAAGGCAATTTGACTGTCAGGATATATTTCATGAAGTACAGCCAGTAAAACTACTCTGCAGTAAATGACTGGAGAAATTAGGTACATTCTTTTAGGAAGATTCAAATACTACTCACATTCATAAAACATCTAATGGGGTAGCACACTCATCCTACAGGGCTGGGCCTTCATAGACAGGCCCTGCCCCCCCCACACAGGCCTCAGCTGTAGTGAGATCTCACTGCCCTGCTGCGCATGCCATGCCTGTGGGGTCATGACTGTGGCAGAGTCAATGACTCTAACAACATCAGGTGCTCCTCAAAATGTACTCCCAATTGGCCCTAAACTATCCTTACCCAACCCACAGGAATAATGATCATTTTGTGGTCAAGGTGAAAACAAAAGCAAAATTTTAAACGTATGCTTTGTTTAGATTTTCTGAGAAGGGGCAAAGATGCCAATAAAGCTCTATTAAAGCAGGTCTATCAGCAGCGTAATTAACATCTTCTCAGCTGAAACCTGACACTCTGACGTCTGGCTCCCTGCAGAGCGAGGCCGTCACTGAGAGCCCTGGTTGACCAGACAAATAGGGGCATCACGGGGGCTGCCAAAAAAATGTCCAAAGTGCACAGAGAGACAAACGTGCCTGTAGCAGCAGGCATATGGCTGTGGCTGGGGGAATCCCCAAAAGGGTTTTGAGCTGATGGCCTCAGACACTCTGCAATACTGTGTCAATATGGCTGTGGGGCACCATTTCTCATCACTGTGCTGGGCCGCATGCTGGCCAAGAAGCATCTGCCCCCCTGATCTGACAAAGGGGAACTGGGCAGGGGGACGAGGGTGTGGGGCTTTGTCCAATTATGTCTCACAGGAGCACTGTGTGGAATCCAGGGGAGGGTAAGCTGCATAATTTGGGGAGTCTGGGCTATTACAAAAAACAGTTATCTTGAGGGAATACTAGGACTAAGAGGTCTGAAAAATGAGTAGGATTCCTACAGGGAAAGGAAAGAGAAGAAAAACTTAAGACAACGACCACTGTGTGCTCCATAGCAGTGCAGCAAAGCATGCAGAAAGGGCCCCAGGGGGCCTGAGGCCAAAGCAGGCTCAATGCTCTCTCTGCTAAGCACATACCCTCTCCCCAAAGTTTCAGCCCCCGTTAGAATAATAAATTAATGTGTTAGAATAATAAATTAATTCTGGAAATTGTAAACGTAAATTACATTTCTAAGTTTTATCAAGCCAAAAAAATAATAAATTATAGTAACCTGTCACAGCCATATCACATATCAGATTATATCCACCAACCCTCCCCACTTCTACCCCACCACTCCCCATCTTCTCATATAGCTGGATCCTTCAAGGTTACAGAAGCTCAGAAATTCTCAGAGCAGCCAAGCTTTCTCATCTTTTTAATTTTCCTCAAAAAAAAGTAAACATAGACTCTCAAGTGCTGTACAAGTGACACCAATCCCCAGGCTCCTGCTGTGTCGACAAAATTCTGCAGGTGCAAATGGACTGGCTCGGAAAGAGCCCCAGTTACTGTAATTCTTTAAGAGTGCCATTGCCCAGTCTCTGATTGTGTGGCTCCCCAAGTTCCTCTTACAGGAGAGTGTGCTGATAGCAAACCGTTTCAGCCACACTGGCGGGGAGAAACACAAACACAAAAGCCGGCACAGGGATACAGCCGACAGGGTGATGTTTCATTTACTTCTCTCTTTGGAGCTCATGGCACTATAAACTCCAGCATTAAATTTTAAGCATTTAATGCAGGAGGATCAAGAGGAAGCCAGAGAAGTGTTCAGGTTCATCGACCACTGGCCTTGCTATGAATTTTCAGCTGGACAAAGAAGGGCATTGCTTGAAGAGAATGCAACATGGGTGGGAATATAAAACATCTATTTCTGGAGATTCGTGAGCTGATATCATTAACAGATGTTTGTTTAGAGTGTATAGATATGTGACCCTCAAGAAGGTCAATATTCACTAGAATATAATTTGTTAGACTGACAGGAGTTAAATCCTATTTTAACTATCAGCAGAATTGGAAAGAGACTGTGATCTCTTTAAAATTACTATGGTTAGAAAGAAATACACTTAATATAGCAAGTTAATAACACAGTATTTCACATCAAATGAAGCTATAATGGGTCTTTTATAGTGAGGCATGCCTGATAAATTGTTGACATGACAAATATAGAATAATAACCCGAAATGTCTACTTGCTCTCTTAGTCCTTGAAGTTAAAATCTGAACCACTCAGTTTTATCACTGTAGTACACAGTCTCAGTTTTCTGGCAGAACTACAGACTGATACATGAGGAATTAGTCCTTGAAAGAGAGAGAATAAGTGATACCAATCATTAGAAGGAAGAAAAGGTATTTCACATTTGTTTAATGCTTCAGTTTTTCACTTATTCATTCAATGAGTATTTCTGAGGCCCCTACTATGTGCTGTGCTAGATTATTAGGTGGATGGTGTAACCAAAACAAAGCAACCCCTGCTTCCATGGAACAAAACCTTTCGTACATCCTAGAGAACAACACAGAGCAAGGGGTGGGACCCATCGGCTCAGCCTCATCAATTTCTTTTTTTTTTTTTCTTGTTGTTATGCTTGGATCAGAGGCTCCCTGGAGCCTTCTCGTGAACGGTGATAATTCCTGGAAAGGCACATGGATCTTGTGCAATTCCAAGAACAGGAACAGGCATGGTCAGGCTTCTCAGGACCTATAATTGGACCCAGAGCAGCCATAAATCTCAAGCTGCTTTTGCTCTTCTTTCCACTCTGTGTCTTAGTTTCCTCATCTGCAGAGTGGAGATATTAATAAAACCTACCTCATAAAGCTATTGAAGGACGCACAGACATAAATCCTATAAAGCCCTTGGTATGGTGCTTCTCAGGCAGTAAGTCATGGCAACAAATAGTGATGGGATTTAGTGACCTGCCAAGCACTAGTCTACAGATTTTCCATGTATAATTCACACAATCCTCACAACAACCCTATGATGAAAATACTATTATTATCTTCATTTTATTGACCACAAACCAGGGTCTTAGAGAAGTTAATAAGTTGCTAAAGATCATACAGCTGATAGGAATCCACAAACTCCAAAACCTTAATGAGTGAGCTAACGTAATACCCGGCTTAGTCTTGTCCTTAACTCAGTAAATCTTTCCTCAGTCTCCATGTTGCTTGATTGAAGTACTCCTAGCTTCTGCTCCCTGTGACCTCTCTTGGCCTGATTCTCCTCCAAGGCTCTACTATATGTTTCCTTTTTCAAATCGCAGCTCATCTGTTCATGACGAATCCTTCCAAGGTTTGTCAGCCCACTTTATGTCAGTGTCAGCCCAGACCAGTTTGCTGATAGAAGGGCCTATGGGCATGGCAGGCACTATGATTGTACCCATTCTACAGATACAGCAATCAGTGTGTTAAAAAGTCTGGTGACCGACCCAAGCTCATTCTGTTAATTGTTGCCAAAGGTAGAACTCCAATATGGGATTTTTTTTATTCTGACACCAGTGAACTTCCATGTTTCCTCTGGGATATTTCTCTCTGTGCATATGGACACCAAAGTCTGCCTAGCTTGGAGTCATCACTTTACTCAAAAGTAACCACAGTCAAGATCATATTTAACAATAGCAAGTAAAAAGTAAAGAGCTGAAGACTATTCCAGCTAGTCCATACCCTGGAGCTTAGCCTACTATGGAAGTACTTTGTTCACCTAATACAATAAATTCTCTCT